CCCTCACCTATATAGCCCTGGTGTTTCTTTGTTCCTTTGTCAGTTCGTTATGTTTCATGTTGTGAGAACCTGGTTCTTTTGACTCCTGACCTACCTTTAGATTTAGACCTTTTGCCAAGTGAATTTTTGTGTTGCTGTACAACTTCGTTTTGGCTATTTAACTACTTTCTATTTTTGGACAACTGTCTTCGAGTCCTGCTTTTGGGTCCTGCGTCCTGTGTCTCGGTTCATAACAATAACTCAGCTACTTAGTGTTTTACATGATGTTATTGAAGTTATTCATATTGTTTCTCTACTTTAAATTATAATGCACTGTAGTTTGTCATATATTCATTGTCCTAAGTCTTTTTCGCTTTTTCGGCTATTTTGTTTATTCAAATTTGGTGGAAATACTTGTCTTTATTCTTTTTATAATGCTAAATAGTTTCTTAAAATCATTTTGTTTTGTCATCGTTACTCTTAGAACTTATTTTTCTTGTTTGCACCACCATACACCAAAGCTAATTCCTTGTATGTGTGAACCTACCTGGCAGTAAACTTGATTCTGTTTCTGATTTCTTACATGTGCTCTTGTTTTTATTCTTACAGTAGGCTACTTGTGTGAACTTCCACCTGTTCTGTCCTGTTTCCACTCTTATTCTGTTGCCTACAGGGAGCAATAAAGGCCTTCTTTAACCTTAAAGCATCAGCTAATTAACATGTCCTAGATTTAATTAAAATATTGGAAATACACTCCGGCCCCTGATCGTGGACCCTCCCCTGGACGCGTCACAGGGTACATTTTTACCCCTCTCAGTCACATTGTTGCCATCCGTCTTTCTGCTTCTGCCAACCCGCTTTCACACAACTTCTGTTGCCTTGGAGATNAGTGTTTTACATTATGTTATTCATATTGTTTCTCTACTTTAAATTATAATGAAAAAGTGAAAAAGACTTAGGACAATGAATATATGACAAACTACTGTGTATTATAATTTAAAGTAGAGAAACAATATGAATAACATAATGTAAAACACTAAGTAGCTGAGTTATTGTTATGAACCGAGACACAGGACGCAGGACCCAAAAGCAAGACTCTAAGACAGTTGTCCAAAAATAGAATGTTCTTTAATCACAAAAACTAAATCGTACTTTCAAAAAATAGAAAGTAGTTAAATAGCCAAAACTAAGTTGTAGAGTAACACAAAAATTCACTTGGCAAAAGGTCTAAATCTCAAGGTAGGTCAGGAGTCAAAAGGCCCAGGTTCTCACGACATGAAACATAACGAACTGACAAAGGAACAAAGAAACACCAGGGCTATAGGTGAGGGGGATGGGCACAGGTGAAAACTATCAGGGCAGGGCCAAGCAATCTCACGGGCGGGAAACACACAAAGGCAGGAAATGTGGGATCTGGGATGAGAGGAAAGATTACTTTCAAAATAAAAACAGGAAGTGACAAGATCCAAACACAAAACTAGAGTAAAAACATAACTAAACCTAACATATCTGTCGAGTCATCACAGTTATAGACAGATAGTGAGTGCAGATATATGATATCACTTTTTTTAAACAATTTTTCTTTTTGTATTTACTTACTTAATATTTACTTTCACTATATATTTTCTGTTTATCTGTATTATTGTGTTGCACTGTTGGAGAAGCCTGTGACCTAAGATGTTCATAGATCGACATAACTACTCTGTAGCTATGTACGTATAAAGAACCTTGAACCTGTCCTTCCAGGAAGCCATTCTTTGAAATTCACGAGCTATCCCAGCAGAGTTTGAAGAATTGTAATCAGCCCAACCCTTTCCCTCCGAAGCATTAAAGTGAAGCTATGATCTAGTTGCATACATCACTGTGAAAGGGGCCTTTCAGCATAGGGAATATGTGATATACTTTACTTTTATATTTACATTTGTATGATTGTCATACCCTAACATAGAAGATCTGAGTCAATCCACATAGAGAACATCTAGTTCGACTTTAACAACCCTGCTCTTCTGTATTTTCTGCCTCTGTGTTCCTCACATTTCCCGCTGACAGAGATTTAGGGTCCGGCCTCTTAATGAGCGCAGAACAGACACATTAACCTTTTCTCCGGCTGAAGGTCCACAGACGTGCCGCTACAGATCTCATTACTTCAGAGGAAGCTGTTAACAGTTAGAGCATGGAGGACTCTGACATTCAGATCAGCACATATCGGCTCCATTTTCATAAACGTACATGTCTTTTGTTGCATTTATGTTAAAAGGTAGTCTTTTTTTAGGTTTGTCCTGTAAAACTTTAATATTAAAACAATAATTGATGTGTTAGTCAATGGGATGAAAACCTTTGATGATGAATTAATACGTTTTTTAACGAGAAAACTCAAACATAACAATTTTTATATTCAACATTTGTATGTAGTTTTTTGTAGACAAAAATAAAACCAACCAACAAGATTTTGAAGCTCTGGTGAAATTACACTTAATTATTAAACATCTATAAATTAGCTCTGGTTCTCAGGTCTTAATCTCAATGAGACAGCCTGACTACAGATGATTCAAGAAATAAACTAAATAATAAACAGACCTCAGAATAATGTAGGAGCTCCAACAAGACGTGTAGGACAGAGAGTGAATACACTATACAGAGATGCTGTATGAGAAACCAATGTGAGTTTGGAACATTGAACAATGTAAATCTATTAGACCTCAACAATGGAATTATGATCAGTGGAAATGGCCATGACATGGGACCTTTAAAGCAATTACACTGCACCCTCACCACTAGTTTTACCTCATTCAGTTGCAGTAAAACACCAACAATTAACAGCACACATTTAATTGAAATAGTACACTTTTTATAGGCTTGTAACCTGACATTATTTAGTTTATTCCCACATCTTAGCACAGTTAACACACGTTTTTGTTGACTTCAAGTTACCATGGTGGTCGGGGGAGTTTACTTTCTGGTTCAGCAAAAGGTGTGACAAAGACTTCCCCTTGGGGACTGCAGGACCAATCAGTACAGTAACAGGACACATGAGTCCTGAAAACAATAAAAACTGGGTTTATCAAAGGGGTCAACAGAAAAACTCTAATAAATATAACAGCAACTTAACAGGTGTTAACTCAACAAACCAACCTGCCACAATGACGCAACAAGGAACATCTATACTGGCTTGGCCAAACCAAATATAAAACAAGGGGTAAACCAAATCCCCCCTTTGATATGGTAGCATATGGTTTGTCCAAATTTGTCCCATTTGCAGTATTTATCCGTCCTCCGCCCTTTGTTGGGCTGCAGTAGTTCCTTTCTAAAAAAAATAAGAATTTCCCCCATATTTTATAGAAGGTATCCAGGCATTTTTTTTTTTATAGCAAAAGTCGATTTCTCTGAAGTTTTAATAATTCTTTAACAACTGAAGATCCATCTTTTTAATATGGCGTTTATTGATTTGTATTTATTCTTATTTAATTCTTATTTTACCATTTGATTACCTTCTGTCAGTATTAAGTGTGTTATCAAAAAGCTATGTGTTACTCTGTTTAAATGGGAAGGGAGGGTTAAATCGTTTTAAATGTTTGGTTTGTTAAGCACTTTTGAGCATGACAAGTGCTATATAAATAAACTTTGATATGATAACTTGTAACAAAGTATTACTACACTTTAATTGAAGTAAGAGTACTTCTTCTATCTGGATTTGGGTCACTCTGAAAGGCATAGTTGCTCCTGATTTAAACACTTTTTCCTGGACAGTGTCACATGTTGAGGGTCTTTAAAGTTCAGCGGGGTCTCACCCAGCTTCAGATCACTGACAGCAGGGGTTGAGGGTTAAAACGGTCCTCTGCAATCCTCATGGTAAGTGTCTCCTGTTCCCATCAGACATGAACTCTGAAGGACCTCAGCAGGTAAGATGTGTAATTAATTATCTGTGAAATATCTGACGTGGTTTACATGCTGAGGCTGAGCTGGAGCGTGTCGTTGAACAGAAACATGCATTATGTGTCAGAGAGCTGGAGTCCAGTTTGTTTTTTATCTTAGAAAGGTTCTTACCTGAGTGAAAGGATTCAAAGGCTTTATTTGTTATATACGCAATAGCTACAGTGTCGTTTTTTGCAATGAAAATGTTGAATCTCAGGCGCCTTGAATAATGTAAATGCAGTATACATAACACAAAATAAATGCAATACAACATTGTGCAATAATCCAAAAGTCAAAAGTGGCAGGCAAGATAATTGTTGTCTTTTAGAAAAGGATACACCGGACCATCCTTTCCTAGAGAAAAGGAGGTCAGTTTTCCTTCTCATCTTCCCTTGACCTTTCCATCAAGGTGAGCTTAAAGTGTTTAGGGAAAACACATAAGAACATAACGTAGGTCTTTACCCCACTATTCGACTGCAGCCTCTATACATGCAGCTGTTGGTTGACCTTTAGTGAGTGAGCTAAAGCTATGTGCTAAAATGATTTACCTCGTGCTTTCCCTGCGTGCCTCTATGGTGAAAGCAGAGACTAAAAACAGATCAAAGTTGTGATGAATGAAGGTAAATGTGGGCCACGTTTAAGAATAGAAATACACAATACATCTTACGTTGGTTGAGTAGTGCAAAATTGAACAAAGAAAATGTTTTGACAAACGTTGTGCATGTCTGTATCTAGTAAGCTCACGTGCATCTACTATAAGAAACTGATGGCATATTATGCAAAAGGTGAGAGATTCAATATATTTACATGCATCAACTCAAAGGTAGCAACACTGTTAAGATCTCTGGTTTAAAAACTCTCATACAACAACAATCCAAGTCTCATGTATCCTGGACTGTCTTAGGGAAGATAGCATTTAGATGCGCAGCTCCACTGTCATGGAATAGTCTGCAAATCAAATGGAAACTGAGCAATCTGGTGCCACTAAATGTTTTTAAAGCTCGGTTGGATGCTACTCAATCGGAAGCTGCTGGTACCTGTTCATGTGGATAGTTATTGTAAATTGTAATCCCTGTAATGATGCTGTATGCCTTTTTGTTGTTCTGTTTATGTTTTTATGTTTCATGTTGAACCTACTTGAGCAGGTCTCCCTTGAAAAAGAGATCAATGATCTCAATGGGATACACCTGGATAAATAAAGGTTTGAAATGAAATGAAAATCCTGCTGTATGCTCTCTACTTCAAGAACACATGCATTTTTACAAATTCTTAAAACAATTTTGCATCAACATAATTACACAGAGGATGGTGTCCCTGCAATCTGAGACTGCTCTTCTTGTGGTCAATAACAATGTATTTCCCACGGCTTTAAAAGATGCTGAATCTAAGTTTCCATCAGAGTGAGGCAAATCTGGCTTTTCACATTAACTGTTTTTTTTATCAGCTGTTTTAAAGCTTTTGTTATCCTTCCTGCCTCCGCGTATTGACTCTGAAATCTTTACATTTCTAAATCCCTTCCTGCCGAGTCGATGCAGAGCTATTATCGTCTCCCTGCAACAGATCTGTGATGAAGCAGCCTCCTCTCAGTCCACATGGCACTTGACTCAAAATCAAGCAATCTGGTCCAATCCTGGGCTTTTTGTCCTGCAGATCAATGAAGTCAGCGGGGCCCTTTCCTATTTTAAGATGGACAAATGTATTTGTTGCCATAGCAAAGTTTCCAGGGAAACCAATCAGTGACAGACGGACGCAAAAATAAATAGGAGAAAGAGAATTTCATTTGAATGAATCCACTCAGGTGCTCAAATGCCCGGCTGCGTGTGCTTTTTAAGGTCAAACCGTCTTATTATAGCTTTTATAATGACTTACAGACTCAAGCTCTGCAGTCGCCGTAGAGCGGGAATACACATAATGTGTTTCTTTTGATGAGCTGAGAAACACAGTGTCATCATGGCTTTAATGGTTTCCTCCATAGAAAGCTGCAAAGAGAGAGTGCCATGTGAGATTAAGTGAAATCAAACAACAATGTTTTTATCCCTTGTGCTGAGTGGTTGGGATATCCTTGTTTTTATACCCACGTTTCGTGACACTTGCAGCAGATAATGTTCACATAAAACATCAGGTGGTTCAAAAAAAGTTACTGCTTTTACTTCAGTAAACGCAACAGCAGTGAAATACTCTGTGACACGTCAGTCCTGTATGTTTACTCCTAAATAAAAGTACACAGTTATTGGCTTTGAAATATACTCAAATCACCCGAAGTAAAAGTAGGCCTACTCATGATGTATGATTGGTGGCAGCAGCTCAGTCTGTAGGGACTTGGCTTGGGAATTGAATGGTTGCCGGTTCAAGTCCCGATTGGACCAAACCAAAGGAGTGTGGACTGGTATCTGGAGAGGTGTCGGTTCTCCTTCTGGGCATTGCTGAGGTGTCTTTGAGCAAGGAACCAAACCTCCCCGCATGGCGCCGGAAAAACCTGGAAGCCACTTTGCTCTGACACCTCTCCATAGAAAAGATGCATGTGTTGTGCATATCTGAATACATGTGTGTGTTTGTACTGTGTGTCTTCATCAACAGAGTGAACAAAGGGTTGTCTTCTTCTCCCTAATGGCCCACTTATATTGTACAATGTACACATTTGTACTCTAAGTTCCCCATCTCTGTGTTTGTCATATGAATGAAGTAGAGAAGAAATTACAATATGTCTTCCTGAGTTGTCAAAGAATAAAGTTATATTGAAATACTCAATATACAAGTACCTCAAGCTAATTCTAAATCCTCTGTTGATTGTATATACTCTGTTACTAAGTACATGTATACAGTACTGTTCCTTTAGTATGAATATATAAATATATTGTTATCAAAATACACGTCAAGTACCAAAGTAAAGATTGTCTTGCCTTCATTTTCAAATCATACAGTTAAATGATATAGTTATTATGTCTTATATGTCGTCACAGCTGGTAAAGGTGAAGCTAATTTTGATACATATGTATACTGCTGCTGGATGTCTTAACCTATAATTATGTAAACTTGTATTTATTAATTATTTTATATTTTATTTGAGCTGAATCTGTAAAGTTAATAAAGCTGTCAAATCATTTTAGTGGAGCAAAAAGTACAATATTGTCTTATTAAGTGTAGAAGAAGCATAACACATACAATATTAAGGTAAGGTAGGTAAGGTACGTTTAATATGTAGCACATTTTCAGACACAGAGCCAATTCTTTACATCATCATTAACACTTACTATAAGAGACCAGAAAGGAATACAATAAATAACCATAATGGAATAACAGATTCATAAACACCATGCATAAAAGAGATACAGAATAGTCTAATATAAGTAACTCTAAATGCACTTCAGTAAATCTTTTTCCCAGGTTAACTTTGTGACTGGATCTGTGGCTGCAGGTTAAACATGTAACCTTTTAGATTCCTCTGATATGTAACCAGTGTGTTTTTTTTTTCCACTTCTCCTGGATGGAGCGCAGTTTGATCTCATTGGTCAGCTGCAGCCTGAGCCGGATATAAAGCCCGGAGCTCCGCAGCAGAGACCGACTGAAAGCGCAGAGCAGCGCCGCGCAGCGCACAGCTTACCGTGGAGAAAACACCTGTTGCCACGGAGCGAGTGGACTAAGACGAGTTAGTGTCTTCTGTGAGTATTTTATTAACACATTTCTGCAGAAAGGAGCAGTGAGTTGGATCAGATTACTCAGAGACACGGGGTGTTAGAGGTTTTGGAAAACGGAGTGTTGCGTAATTGGAGGAAGATGCTCCGGCACCTGTTGAATTTAATATCCGTCTGTAACTTTTATTGAACGTTTTCTCCAACTTTTACGATTAAAACTGATGTATCAATATGATATAAAGAAGGGGGAATATACTCTGTGGTTAGTTAATAAATATAAATGTGATTTAATTATTTCGAATCGACCATAAAGTAATTTCCTCTGATGTATTTTTTCTCCATCTCATATGGTTTAAGTATAACAGAAAGCCTGGCATGATGTTGAATTGTCTTAGTTTTAAGAATAAAATGCATGCAAAAAAACAAGGTACCATCATTATTTAATGTTTAACAATCATGATAACTAATGAAGAATGATATTTACAAATATCAAGATTTAAAAATAGGAAAGGAACTGTTTTGTTGTGTATTAATCTATTCCAAGACTGGCTCTTTATTTACTCTAACAATCAATAAAGCCACTCTACCGTCTAAAATAAATTATGATTGTTTTTATATTTAGTTAAAACAGTTGCATTCTGATTGGTTTTGTATCAATTGTCTCTTAAAAGTCTTCCCAACGCTGCCTGTATCTGTTAGATCCCTTAAATGTAATAAGCTGAGTAAATCAGATCATCAAAGAGCCTTTTTGAAGATTCAGTTTCACAGCATCTGGAGTCAATAGCGTTTAAAGTTCACTTTGCTGCAGCTGCAACATTTATTCTGTCTTAATCCCTCAAATACTTTCATCATATCGTGCATTATCGTCAGAGCTGCAACACCTTTTATTTTGATCCGTCTGCTTCCTGTGGATTAACCCTCTGATCCTCTACTCCCTCCCTCGCTCCTTTGTGTGTTATAATTGCAGACTCACCTGACTGCTCTCCACACACCCACACCTCCCGCAGTCCGGTGGGACCATGTGGGTTCTGGATAAGATCCGCGGCTCGGTGGAGACCAGCGTGCTGCGTCAGGGCGATAACGCAGATAGGAGAGGCGTCCCCTACAGCAACGTCCTCACCCCGGACCAGATCCCGGACTTCTTCATTCCTCCGAAGCTGGTCAGCGGCGCCCCGGAGCCAGAGCTTCTTCAAGTGAAACCCAAAGAGACTCTTCAACCTTCAGCCGCGTTGGAGCTGAGTAACGGCAGCGGCAGGAAGATCAGCAGCCCGAGGAGTCCCCGCCTGGTGGCCAAGATCACCGGCGACACCAAGAACCTTCTGCGAGCCGCGAACCGTCACATCATCCAGATCGAGAGCGCGGACGATGTTGGCGACACCAACGCAGACCCTCAGTCGCAAACCGCCATGTCCCTGCCTTACGTTCCCAAGACTCAAACGCCGTACGGTTTCACGACGTTGAAGGAAAGCCCTCACACTCGCCGTAAAGAGTCGCTTTTCCACTGCGAGCTCAGCAGCCCCATCTCCTCCCCGAACACCCAGAGGAGGACCCACGGGAGAAGCAGCGATGCGGGGAACCATCTCAACCCCGCCGACTGCAACAGCTCCCACATGAACCCGTACCGCTACTTCAGCGGAGGCGAGAGCGACACCTGCTCCTCGGCAGAGTCCTCGCCCTTCAGCTCTCCGTTGCTTTCCCGCTCGGCCTCGCTGCTCAAGATCTTCACGCAGGAGACCCAGGCCAAAGTCGTGAAGGTCAAGCGGACGTTCGCTCGCCACAGCTCCCTCTCCACTGATGAGTGCAGCTCGGCAGAACCAAGCCCCAACGTCCAGCGGCGGCTCCACGGTCCTTCCTTCGGTGGGGCTGGGCTGTCGGACCACCATCGGGAACACACCGTCAACCTGCACAAAGGTGGGACCATGAAGATCAGCGCCAACTACGACGCCAGCACCTCCCGCCTGCTGATCCGCGTTCTGGCCGCGGAGAGTCTCTACGACAAGCACTTTGACATCAAGAGCATCAACTGCTGCGTGTCCGTGTACCTGAACCCGGGCAAGATGCAGAAGCAGAGGAGCAACATCATCAAGAACAGCCGCAACCCGGTGTTCAACGAGGACTTCTTCTTCGACTCCATCAGCGCCGTGCAGGTGAAGAAGCTGTCGGTGAAGTTCAAGGTGGTGAACAAAGGCACGAGTCTGAAGAGGGACAACCTGCTGGGGGAGCGAGAGGTGCTCCTGACCAAGCTGCTCTCCGGGGTGTAAAGCACCTGGAGGTCAGAGGGGAGACACACACACACACACACACACACACACACACGGATTGAACGATAAATTAGATGTCTGCACTGGTTTCTACTCATACTACTGTTTTTATTCCACTATGTGTAAACAGAGTGGACTTTACGATGAAGAAGGAAGTATTGAAATCATCAAAGGAAACTCTTGATGTAAGGATTTATGGTGTTGGACGCTTCCCTGGTTCCTTCTGCTCATTAAACCCAGCCTGGCTCGACAGCAGCAGATGAATTTCACAGATGAAAGCATGTTTTTTCTTCTTGTGGACAACCCTCTAGCCCACTCCCTCGACTGGTTCAAAGGTTGCACAACCCCTGTGCATCCATCGCTGCCCTGCACTACTGCGTGCCTCGTGGTTTTTATCATTCTAACGGGACATAAATCCAAAGCAGCGCAGGATGTGAAGCTACACCATCTGCACGGCGTGTTCGGCACAAAGATGCTTTTGTGAATCAGAGCTTTGAAGTGGCACTACATCCTGATGTGCAAATGAACCTTTGATCCCAGTCCTCCTGCATGGGTGGGCGTCAGACAAACAATAGGCACATTTACATGCAGATCTGAAAAATGATTATAATGCAAAGCCCTAATTGGCACAATCTGTCAGTATAGATATTAACGGGACGAAGAGTTCCAGGAAATGTCTAGGTTTTGCCTGTTATTTTACTAAAGCGTTAAAGTAAAGGTGCCCGAAAACACACGCCAGTAGTTTTAACTTAAATGAATTGTGTGAATCCTTGAGGTGTAACTTATTTAAGTTCAAATCCTGCATTGTTTACTTCCTAGTTTGCTTTGAAGCGATCGTCTCCTGGACAGCATCTGCGGGTGCTTACGCATACGCTTTTCATTTAGCAGAACATTGAAAAACCAATGGGGTTGCCAATTGAAAATAAGAAATGCACCTACTATGTTTATTTTTCTTCAAACCTGCGCAGGATTGTTTTACCCGTTTTATTACAAGCAAAATAAAAATAAGAGGTTGCTACCCGTGCAACATTCAAAGGCTCGTTTAGAAACGAGCTAATTTCTATTGGAAACAGGTCCAAATATTCTTACCCTTGCCCTTTGTATTTTCTATAAAATGTAGGCTTTCAAAACTCATTGTCCAGAATAAGTTCAGGCTGGAGGAATCTGGAGCTGAAAGGAAGAACACATGATAAACGTTCCCTCATTTCAATTTCAGTTTGGCTGATGAGGTCTTTGGAGCCTTTTGAGGAACCTGTGAGCACGATCCACTGCAGCCTGTCACGAAGGCCTCATTCATTGTGGGCACCTTGATTAAATCTCGTGCAACCAGGCAACGAGCTCTCGCCTCGTCTTCACTCTGCATTCAGACCGGTTCCATAACGCCGTCTTATTCTGCACAGACTCACAGTCCAAGATGATTACTTTAGTTGTTTTCCTTTTTTTCAGGCAGTCACGCAGCCTCAGTTAAATCTGCCTCTCCAACCTTCTTCTCTAAAGCACTTCACATATTTCCAGTTGTTGGATAATTTTGATCTCAATGGGACAAGAAATTAGCTGATTAAAAAGCTACTCTTGTCTGTCATGTCAAGCGAATTTAACAGTCGGCCATTTATGCAACCAGTGCCGCTGCCTTAGTCCCAGTATTGGCAGATACAGTACTTGTGTGCATGTAAATGTATTAAATGTCTCATATGAGAATAACAGAGCACTGTAGTAACAGTTGCATGGCACAAATGTCACTGACATACTGGTGTTTGCATGAAATGCTCAAAGTTTTATGAAACCCTAAAGCCTTACGATGTATATGTGTGTGTGAAGATGAGAGAAAGTGTGTGTGCTTTGATTAGCATGACATTTTGTCCTATGTTTTCTATGTACGACATGTTTTGTAAAATGCTTTGGTTGGATTTGTACTGTACATATATCTACCTAATGTACTAGTTTCTACGATTGTCAGCCAATTATGCACCAGCGAGTGAGCAGTGATGATGAGAGGCATTTTAATTACGCCTGTTTGAACTTTAATTACGCCCAAGGGGAAGAGGTAGAAATGTCAAGAGTCAAATAAGGAAAACAAGGTAGCGTGGAAGACAATATTGAGTGTTTTGATGTAAAAAGCAGCTCTTTGGATTATGAGAGAGACATCACAGAGATGCAAATTACTGAGGCCTCACACACAAAGAGCCTTTCTCTCACCTGGTGATTGTAGCTCCCTTGTAGCACTGTTGTTGATATGCTCTCTCTATATATTCGTTATACACAGTGAAACTGCTGGTCGGCTTTGTTTTGGTGTGAAAGTCAGTGATCTGTTGCCTGCTCGTACAGTTATAGCATGACTAACATACTTCAGTAGTGTCAGTGGTGACTTTCAGTGGATTCATATCGTGCAGTGGTGAGTCCAATGTGCTCTGATTCTAGATGAAGATTTACTGCTGACACAAATGTTTTTTACACCTGAAATATTGTTGATTCAAGTTGAGTTCTGTTTTGTATTATTAGAAACAATTGCTTATGTGGCTTATCATTTAATAGAATGGAAATGCAGAGGGGAAAACAATAAACAGTAATCTGATTACCTCTGCTTACATATCTGAAGTCATATTAGGAGGTTATATCAGCGTTACACGTACAATGCGTTTCAATCACAATGAAGACTGACAGATGGAAAAAAGGGACTCTATTCTGCTCATTTTCAGGTTCATATTTGTATTTAGTGTCTCGACTGTGACATGTTTCCATGCTTTAATGTTAATGCAGCACCTCTTTTCACCCTCTGTCTGAAACCAGAGCCCAGTCTGCTCGGATTGGTTAGCTGGCCTGCTCAATTGTGATTGGTCAACCGCTTAGAGATGTCCCGCCCCTTAGCCTCTCACGTACAATGTGTTGGAGCGCTGGCCAATAGGAGCGTGGGTGTTACATAGCGATGTCACTATTTTAAAGATGTAAACAAAGAAGTCCAATTGAGGCGTTTCAGGCAGGGGGTGGGGGGATGGTGTCGGAAACCCCCAAAAGCATTACATTTAACAACATTTGTCAAAACATTGGATTTATTGAATTGGTTTGTTGCCTTCTGATTGCTCTGTGGATAGATTTTAAGCTGACCTGGAGGTTTACCACATATATCTATAAATATATTGAATAATGTTAAGAGCAGATTACTCCTGATAAGCACACTTGACTGCTTCTGAGAAAACACACATAAAAAGCAAACGGTTTAAAAATGATGATGATTTTGATTCACTGTTGGGGAAAAAAGGTTTTGCCATTGGAAACAATGTTGTTGCAACCAAATCATAAGAAAAATTATCCTCTGTTTGAGTAGACATTTCATTTCTATTGTACTTTCTACAACAATCCTGAAATAATATGCCTACCTGCGCCTTTAAAGCTAATTAACAATGCATTATATTGGGTGAATTAATGAATACACACTAAATTATAGCCTTGACACAATTGTGTTTTCAAGCCCCCTTTACATTTTAAGACTAGTTACCATTGAATTTCATCTGAAATGCAATTCAAGATTTTAATTGCGGTTTAATTTGTTACAATTCCAACATTACATATTTCTGTTGAATAAAAGTCACATATTTTTTGTTATCATTTTGACAAATAAGAAATAAATTGATTATATTTTTATTAGAAACTAGTCAAAATTGCATTATGGATCATACTGTCGGTGGGCTTGAATACTAACGAGTCAAAAAGCAATTGTTGATGCAATTAACGCTCCTGATTACATGTTGAAATCTTTGCAGGTGTTCTGATATTGTAAAATGCGAACGTGTTTGTCAAGCTTAAAACCAACAAAGCAATCAGGATTCTCCCTCTGAGAAACGTAATGGTAACCAACAAACCATTATTCCCAGTGTCACGCTCATTATGTGGTCAAAACAAGGTTGTTTATTTAAAATGTTGAGCTTTGTTTGGCAACGGGGGGATTACAGGAATCACCTTTCCTGTCATCCTGCTGCTGGGAAATCCGCTCGTATCTCCGCACTCAATAGCTGTTTAATTGAATAGGGGTGGAGAGACTTGACTGATAACATTTCAAAGGAGAATTGAGTAAAGTGTGAGTGCCGCTGTGTGTGAGAGTGATGGATGTTGTTTTTCATTGACGTTCACATTTAAAATATATTGTACATAGGCTCGAGTCTGAATGTCTTGGCAGGATCTCTCTGAAAAATGAAAAGTGCCCGTCCTTTACTTGACACCGAAATCTTTCATTTATTTTCAGACGTAGATGAAGACGCTATTGCTGTTTTCTGTTGTGAGTCCGGATTGTGCAGTTAGATCCCTTTTTTTTACTGTTATGCTAGAGCCTCTGACTGTCTGCTTGTATTCTGTGTTGTGGATGTGAAATACTTTAATTAAAGGAAAAGTTCTACAGCATCTCTGCTTATGTCATTTCTTTATTCGAAGTGTCACGATGTCCAGTACAATCAATAATATGATATGTATGATATATGCTGTTTTGGTCAGTAATATATTATCATATATTTATCTTTCATTCAAGATGTGTTTATAAATGTGGCCCTTTTTTTTTATTATAAGGATAAATCAAAGGATTAAATGTTGATAAATGTGCTGCGGAAATGATCACACTTTTTACGTTACATAAAAAAAGTTGTGATGAATTCGAGTTGCATTGCTGTATTCGACAATAATGAAACAATAGATATGATGAGATGTAATCAGATGTATTGGTCCGTAATAACCCAAAATCACCCTGTTTTCCAGTTGACGACAGATGTGAAATCCTCCCTTTTCTTATGTTACGTTATATTTTAAAAGAACTGGTCAATTACAAAAATGCTTTGCCCCAATGACAAGAAAAGGATGACATTTGTAAGACACATGGTAAATCAATCGTTAAGGATTGTAAAATGTGTGATGAAAGAAATTAAGCTTAGCGTAAGTTCTTTCAGGAAGACTGGTATACATTCACTCCGCAGCTGCTTATAATCAGCTCACCACGGGCGTTCTCTTTAACCTATTACATTCACCTCATTCTCCAGCAGCCAATCAACGTGCTGCAGCCAAACTTTAAAATGGTTCTCCTCTCTCCTGCAGTCAGCATACCTGCATACCCAGTGCCAGGAGAGCTAATCCAAAGACCTCATCACACCTCCTCTTCATCCCATCTCCTCATCACATCCAGATCTTCATCATCATCACAGTGTCTAGACCCCGGGGGGTTCCCTATATGCTCACGGCTGCATTTCCCCCCTTTAGAAATACCTTTTCAGGATCGGGGTCTAATCGCCAAAGACTTCATATTTGTCATACGGCATGTGTCAATAAATGTTCTTTAAACAAAATGAAG